TACATGGAAGTTCCAGAATGCTTCTTTTTAAATACATCAAATTTATGGATTTATGTTTACTTGAAAATTAAATAAATGTGAATATTGCAATTATGAAAATTTACATATTTTGACATTAACAATTAGTATTTGTAATGAGAACTTTAGGGACTTTCAATGAAATACACATTATAAAATTAGGGCTTTTGTTAGGCATCAAATATGTGACAGACTAGAATTCAACATCTTATTTCAAATTGTAAATGATCACTTGTCTAGAAAAAATTACTAACATCCATTTTTCTATAACAAATGTAACATTTTTGTTTTGGATGCAATTATTGCTTTTGGAGTAATAGACACTGAATATAAAACTGCTCTTCTGTTTTAAGTACACTATCATTTTAATGTCACTCAATGATAAAGAATGCTTGGACCTGTAACACAGGAAGAAGATAAAGTGATATAAAAAACAAGCATTTTTGCTCCTACTGGAAATGACTAAAGATCAATTTATAACAGATCATGAATTAGCACATTCTAATAAAACTTGCTCCTGGTTGAACTGGCTAAATTTTTTTAGAACAAAACGTCTTTAGAAGCTGTAGTTTATAAGATGTTTGTGTTTCTGAAAAGGTTATTCCAATAGAAAGGCTGTATCTGCACAAAAGGAAATAAAAATGAAGATGTTCAAGTAAAAATGATACAAGGGGTGACTTGAAATGTTCATGTTTAATAATTGAAGCTAAATTTCTCTGAATCAAATTTACAGTTCTGAAACTTGGTCACAACTTACCCAGTGTTTTCTAAGATTGAAGTAAAAGAAAGTAAGGGCTGGGTGCGGTGGCTCACGCCTGTAATCCTAGCACCCTGGGAGGCCGAGGTGGGTGGATCATTTGAGCTCAGGAGTTCGAGACCAGCCTGAGCAAGAGTGAGACCCCATCTCTACTAAAAATACAAAGAAATTATCTGGACCTGGACAGCTCGAAATATATAGAAAAAATTAGCCGGGCATGGTGGCGCATGCCTGTAGTCTCAGCTACTCGGGAGGCTGAGGCAGTAGGATTGCTTGAGCCCAGGAGTTTGAGGTTGCTGTGAGCTAGGTTGATGCCACGGCACTCTCCCGGGCAACAGAGTGAGACTCTGTCTCAAAAAAAAAAAAAAAAAAAAAGAAAAAGAAAGTATTTAACTGAAAAATAAAACACCCAGGAAAACAAAACAAAACAAAAAACTTGAATGTTACAAGACTGTTTCTAGAGAATGAATAGGAAGGAGTCAATTTTTCCTGTCATGCCCACTCAGATGACTCATGTTTCCATTTCATTCTCTCTTTTTCATATCTGAGATTTTAGGCTCACTTTTAGTGTAGCTACTTATAACTCAGAATCTGTGTTGCATTATCCTGGTAGCTAAAATTCCATTATGTATTCTAACCTCTGAAACTAGTTTTTGCTTATTCTTTCCTTTCATAAATATCATTAAAATAATGTGGGCATTGAGTTATGAATATAGTACAGAAATCTCCAAAACAATATACCCAACTATTCACTGAACTTCTCTTTGTACTATAAATATTAATCTATTAGAAAATAATAAACTCATAATTTTCAGGGATGGTAGTTTTTGATGCTAAAACTAGTTCTTTTGGTAAATTTTCTTTCTATATCCTCCATTTTACTTTAACCGACAAGGCTATCATTTTATATGTCATTTAAAATCATAATTATCAATAATCTCTAAGTGTATTTCCTGTGGCTAATTATGTAAACATCTTTCCATTTCTTATGTTCAGACTGTAATGTCTTATTGAATAATATAAAAAGGCTTGTTTTCCGACTTACCTTAAAGCATCGTTCTAGAGAATACGTGTCTTTGCAGCCTGATATTAACGATTTGAGAGTTGCAAAGGATTGTATTATTAGGAGTCTGTCACTTAGGTAAATCTGTTGGTGTTAGCATCTCATTTGATTTAAGAATCAAATCCCTATAACACTTTATTCTCCCCACTTCTCTATAATCTATCTTAATATCTTAGTTCTGCTTCTATGATTGAGCCTTGACTGATAAAATAATCTTCACATCATCTCATACCTTCAAATATGTTGGTTCTCAAATTCTAAGGTAAACTCAAGAATCACCAGGGGTTCCTGTGAAACATAAGGATGACCAGTCTTCATCTTCAGAAATAAAATTCTGATTCACTGGGTCTGGTGTACAGCCTAAGAATCTGCATTTGCACAGGCATCAGATTCAGATGATGCAAGTACCATGATTTGAACAAACACATTTGAAATGTATTTCACTGAAATTAAAGTTTTCCAATAATGGAATTTTCTTTCCATTACTGATGGCATTAAAGCCAAATCTATTTGATTTTGTCCAAAAAGCACTTGTCATTCACTTGATATGTTAGAAACATGTTCCAAGGTGGGAATGGATATCCAGATATCTAGTGAAATCACGGTATGCAGTGTAGAGAAGCATGTGTGTTGGGGTCTTATTAAATGCTATTATTCCTCTTTCTTTCCTCAATAGTGGCTTTCTGGTAATGCTTTGAGAAACCCTGTGATATTTTGGAGCGGGTGCAGGTGTAAAGGAAAGTCCAAGTTAGTGAGACATTATGATTCTGCAATTGCTTCCCTAGGCTTCAGCCAGGGCAATTCTTCTATTCTTCCTATATAGTTGGGATATTTTTTCTCATGAGGTGTTTTGTTTTTTTAAAGAAAATGTACTACATAAAAAATATTTGAAAATGAAAGTCTTCACTGTAATATAAGCACATTATTTTTTATATAAAATGTATTAACAAATATTGATTGAATGGACAATGAATATGTTGGTGCATATCTTACCATTAGAGAGTCCCAGTATTAAGGAAAGTAGGTAACTAGAGACCATTTGGGATAATCCATTGATTTCATAGATGAACCATCCAAAGCCCAAAGATGTTGAGTGAAGGTTTCACTGGTAATTTTTTTGGTAGAGATAAATTTAGTTTTCTAGTTCGCTTCTCTTTCTATGTGTCATAACTGACATATTGTGAGAGAATTAATAAAATATTGGGTCTTCATAACATTCCAGGAAATTTTGAATGTTTATTATTTTTTAATAATTATACTATCTTTAATATAATTACTTCATTATATTAAAAATTTCCTCACATTTTCTGGTGTGAGGTTTTTTTTTTCTTTAGGTTAATCAAATGAAAATAAAATTATTCTAAAATCTTGATGGATTTTGAATTTTGATTCAAATAAAGGACTATTTCAGATAGCTCAATATCAAAACTCATTTTCAATTGTATTAGAAGGTGAAATAATGAAAGCTTACATCCTGGCTTTTTAAAAAAATGTTGAGAATGTTTGTATTTCGTTTATTTCTACAGCTGGATTATGATGGCACCATTACTATAGAGGAGCAGATTGTCCTTGTGCTAAAAGCTAAAGTACAATGTGAACTCAACATCACAGCTCAACCCCAGGAGGGAGGTAAAGATGCTAAGAAAATTGTGTTTCCTTGTGTCTCCCACCCCTTCTCCCAAAGACTGCAAATTTCCTCTTTATTTTGTGTTAGGAAGGTCCTTGCTGGTGATTCCGTGTTTCCATGCGGAGAGCTGTGTAGCAGAATAACACTCTTTTAATCCCTTTACCCCACTTGCTCATCTCTCCCTATGCAAGGAGTGGGACTCGCTCCATTACTGAGTTTGGGAATAGCAATTGAGCATGTGCACATCAGCCCCTTCCTCAGACCTCTCCTTGGGATTTGTCTACCTGTAGAGAGTGTGTATACTGGTCTGCTCTTGACCATGCAGTTAAGTTTGGAGGGGCAGGCTCCATCCCTGTGGATGTTGCCTGCAGATTTAGGTAGAAAGTTCAATTCAGAGCAGTAAATAAGCAAGCCCACACCTAAGCCATATTCTCAAAAAACTTTTTTTTTTAATAAAATGATAATGTTATCTCCATTGGCCTGACTATGCAATCTCTCAATTCCAAATTCAAGTGAGAAGTGGAGTGTTGTTTACTGAGCTCTCTGAATTCCCTACTAAATGCAGCAATGTTCCTGAAGTTACATCCCTGTAATAAAATATGCAGTTTGATATCTGCTTCATACTAGTCTCTAAATACTAAAAAAAAATTGTGATTGATTTCTCAATTGGTTATGATCAGAGAACATAGTCTGCATGATACTGATTTTTAAAAATGTATTGAAACTTAATGGCTTATACTGTAGTCAATTTTGATAAATGTTCCATACGATCTTCAAAGGAATGTATGTTCTCTGGTTTCTGAGTACAGTGTTTTATAGTGTCCACTAAATTAAGCTTATTAGTTGTGTGGTTCATATAGTCTGTATGCATAATGATTTTTTATGTGCTTGACCTTTTATTTACCAAGATATATATCTTAAAATATCCTACTATGATGATTAATTTGTCATCCATGTAATAAGAACACTTGTACCCCCTTAATATTTTGAAATAAAAAAATTAAAGTAGTAGGAATTAGATGTGTGGAGGAGAAAGTAAAATGAAATTCTAAGAAGACAGAATAGGATGGACAAAGGTAAGCAAGTGTGAATCAGTCACACACCATATGAATTACACATAAAAGAATATATTAACTGGTTGTAAACTTATGTAACATCTAAAATTTGTGAAGATGTGAATCATGTGAAACATGTAGATGAATAAATATTAAAAGATAAAAAATACTTTGAGATTCTTCTCCATGCAAATAGGATATAATTAAATATGGTCAAACTTGGTCTACCTGTCAATGAAAATGTCTAATTATATATAAATTGATTCAAATGTTATTCACTTTAAACTTTTTAAAAACTAGACTAACCTTTTGAATTCACTAGCCAATTTAAGAAATTTTCACTTTTAAATTCTTCTAAAATTGAGAGATGCATATCAAAGTATTTAGGGGTGAACTGTTATGCTGTCTATACTTTAAGATAGCATAGCAAAAGATAAATTAGATGAAATAAATATTGGAGAATATTAACGGCTCTCAATTCTAGGTTATGGATATATTACAATATTCTGCTTTATTTCTCAAAATTTTTTAAAATAAAAAGAACATAAAATTTTCCTAATGTTTATGAAAAATGGAACTATAAATGGAAATACCTAGTTATAAAACTATTCAAGTATTTAAAAACCAAAACCAAAATATTATTGGTCCTGGTTCTGCTTCCAAGTATGGTCACATTTTGTTACAAGTAACTGAAGAACTGGAAAGAGAAAAGTTAGATTCTCCTAATTTTTGATGGTTCTGTGTAAATATCATGGTTTGACAAACTTCACTAATAATTAGACTGTCATGGCATGGCACACACAAAGGATTACAGAGTTATAATTAATGTTGCTAACTTATAAAGGGAGATTGGTGAGCCATTAGGCAATTAATTAGTTTCTTGCCAAATAATAAAAGTATTTACTCACATAGGATGGAAATGATCAAAGAGGATGCTAATTAAGATCTCTGTATTTTCTGTGTAAGGGCATGGCTTCCCCAGTTTTACAGTCTTTTGTGAATATTCATCATTCTTTTTGTCAAAGAGCCACCAAAGAAATGAACATGATCTACAGATACATTATTTGGGGGAGGGGTGTTGGTTTTCTGAATTTTGGGGGGGTATGTCTGTGTATGTACATGTGTAGGTTGCTACCTTATAGGAAACTAGAAAACTGTCCCTTTTAGAGCATGAGGAAAAAAAATCTTTTCCATAGCGGTTTTTACACTGCATAATTATAGGATAAACTGGCCATTGGATTTTACACTTATGTGAAGACCTTATTCCATCTGGAAACTAATTCTTATTAGAAAATAGCACATGACATAACAGCATACATTTTAGAGGGACAACTAGTAACAGGAAAACAAGAATGTGTCTCCAGGTCCAATTTAGGTAGCTTGTACAATAGATATCAGGCACATATTGATTAGACAGCTCAGATGTATAAAGGCATGTGACTTGTTAATGACAAAGTAAGTGGAATGCTGTGGCCCCTTGACTGAATCCAATGGGAGAGACTGAGTCATCCCACTCTGTATAAACCAGAAGGAAAACAAACAAAAAGCAGGTAATGGTGAGAAGAGAGGCCAGTGGAGCTGTCCACCAGAAGCACAATGTGATGGGTTCCTGCACTGCTTGTGATACATACAGTGCAGGCTTTTATTGTGTGAGCAAAGCAAGGCTACTTCTGAGAAAGTGTTCTCTTCTACGAGAAAAGTGTGGGCGAGAAAAGACATTTTCTTTTCTTATTGCTTCAGTGGTCCACGAAGCAAATCAAGGATTTGTGTCACTGTGATATGGTGGATACTGAGAAGTTAATTTCAAGTTTATCCTGAATTATTTTCTGTAGAAATCAGTGTTTGTGTGCGGTTCTATTAATGTTGGCTGTTCAAAACTGAGCAAACAACTTGACAATATGAACATTAGCTAAAACAAAAGTCCTCAGCTACAGTTCATGTAACTGGTAACTAAAAAATTGAGAGAGTTATAATGGCCAGTACTTGTGGTGGCAGAATAATGGCCCTCCAAAGATGTCCACACCCTAATACCTGGTGTTATGCCTCTGTATGCTATGTTATGGCGTGGCAAAAGTGATTTTGCAGATGGAATTAAAGTTATGGACCTTAAAATGGGGAAATTATTCTGGATTATCTGGGTGGGTGCAATGTGATCACATGGGTTCTTAAAAGTGGATGAAGAAGGCAGAATCGGTCAAAGTTGGGACAGAAAAGGAGAGTAGAGGAGAGATTCAAAAATGCAAGGACTCCACTTGACTTGCTCACTTTGAAGATGGAAGGATGGGGGCACGAGCTAAGGAATGCAAGCAGCTTCTAGAAGTTGGGAACAGCCCTCAGCTGACAGCCAGCAAGGAAACACCGACCTCAGTTCCGCAACTGCAAGGAACTGAATTCTGCCAACAGCTAGAATGCGCAAGGAGATGGATTCTCCCCGACAGCCTCGGGAAAGGAATGCAGCCCCGACCAGCCTTTGACTGTGGCCTTGTGGGTCTCTAAGCAGAGGTCCAGCTGAGCCAACCAGACTTCCGACCTATAGAAATAGTGAGAAGATAAATTTATGTTACTTTAACCTGCTAGATTTGTGGTAATTTGTTATAGTAGCAATAGAAAACTAATACAGCACTCACTGGAGCCATCTCCTTTTGGGAAGCTGGGGTATAACTTGGCTGACAGGCTGTCTTCCTGGACGTTCAATTCATCACTAATGGAAAGGAGTCCTGAAGGGCCCAGAGTACTGACAGTGAATATTTGTTAAGCCCCTATCAGGTACCAGGCACTGTTCCAGGAACACGGCTAAAGCATGAGACAAAACAGACAAAGATCCTCACCCTGAGGTTTCTCAAATCCTGTGGCTTGAGAAAACAATAATAAAATAACATTTAATATTAGAAGGTGATGAGAAGTCAGGGGAAAAATATAGTAGGAAAAGGGAATGGGGAGTGCTTCGGGATGCAATTTTAAATGGGAAGCATTTACTCCGAAGCTGACATTTGAGTGCACGTGTAAGGAGGTAAGAGAATGAGCCTTGAGGCTGTCTGGGGCATGGCATCCCAGTCCGGGAAGAGTGAACTGGGCCTGCGCAGTGAGTTAGGGCCGGAGACGGAGCCAAGGCCAATGGGATGAGCAGGGAGAGAGGGCAGATCCCATAGGGTCCTCAGACACTGTAAAAACTTGGGCTTTTTGAGATGGGGTGCTGTTGGAAGATTTTAGGCTATTGTGTCAAGAATAAAGGAAAGGAGAGCGTGAAGAAGGTCCACTGTGCACTCGTTACCAACTTAGAGTCTGAGTGTGGTGAAGCAGAACACCCATGCACGTAACAAGTTACGTGAAGCAGGTTCAGTCATAGACAGGCAGCAAGGGACAACAGAAGCCTGGGAGTCACTGGGTGCAGGTCTCTCAAGGCTCATTAAAACTGCCCAAGGCAGACGGAATCTCGACTGTCCATGTCCCACTTGCCTACAGCAAGGGGACCGAGGTTGGAGCGGCCAGGGTTTGGGGGCGGCGGCCCAGAAAACAGCCCACCCCAGGTTCTATACCTCCAGGGAAGCCATGATGCACTGGGCTAAAGTGTTGAAGGATATCCTGTTTCTGGGACGGATGGCAGCAAAGCCGGGGCTGTTCCAGGCAGTTCCCCCTTTATCTCAGGATGTTTTGTTTCCAATACATAATATGGTTATTCTTGAGACCTCTTACATAAGCAAAAGGGGCGGGGAGAACTGTCTGTCCCATGCCACCCAGAGAGCTGCCCCGCAGAAGGCAAGAATGGAGTCAGGAAGACTGTTGGAGATTGTTGCTGTCATTCAGGCTGGAGAGGGGGTGACTTGGATTATCCTGGTGGCAGGAGAGGTTGTGAGAAGTGACGGGGTTCTGGACTCACCCTGAGAGGAGTAGAGCTTAGGAGAATTTTTTTTTTTGAGATGAGTTTTAGACTCAAAGAAATTACTAAAATTACTGGTAAAAAGGTAAAGCTGAATCTTGAACCTTACCTGTGAAGTGCAATGTTTTGTGTATCATGTTCTTTAACAGCAATTTAAAAAATCTAGGATAAAAATGTAGCTACAACTGTGATAGTTGGAAGCACTTTACTACAGAACTTGTTCACAATGACTTCCAATGTTTCTTATACATTAATTGCTATAACTGCTATAACTAATATACTGAAATAATTCGATTCAAATGCTGCTATTAATGAGCCCTTGATGAGGTCAGGAAGATGAATTTTGTAACATTTGCGTCATATCTATCCTATTCTAGTTTCCAAAACTACCAGTTTGTTTGATATTTCGCCACAGGCAGTGAGTTGAAATTTTGTATTTTGAATGCATTTGTTCTCTGCTTGATTTTTCTTTATTTGCTTTAAACTTTTTTTTTTCCTCATCAGAAGGTAATTGTTTCCCAGAATGGGATGGACTCATTTGTTGGCCCAGAGGAACAGTGGGGAAAATATCGGCCGTTCCGTGCCCCCCTTATATTTATGACTTCAATCATAAAGGTATCGAATTTTTCTGAAATGATTAATTTGAAACAAATTTATTTATTTGTTTTTGTAATAGATTCTAAAGGAACTGAGTAATCTCAGCGTCTTTCATGTCTTTACAGGAGTTGCTTTCCGACACTGTAACCCCAATGGAACATGGGATTATATGCACAGCTTAAATAAAACATGGGCCAATTACTCAGACTGCCTTCGCTTTCTGCAGCCAGATATCAGCATAGGAAAGGTAATGGAATCTTTATATTTGTGAACCCCTAAGGGAAAGTAGAATAATATTTTTATACGATTCTTGATTGTCAATTATTATATATTAAAAACCCTTTTATTCTATGACATGAGGATCATAAAGGATAAAAGCAATGTTGGAATCTTTTCAGATGTATATGAAACATTCTGGTATTTTCCTTAGGCTAGAGTTACCTGGCTGAGATATTAATACATGTATATATACTTATATCTGTGTATTTATTATAGTACATTATGTCATGTTTACATTACATTATATTATGCTATATTATATTATGTCTAAAAATCCCGACAGGTAGTCAGCAACATGAGTCACAATTTCTTCTTAGTTACCTAGAATGGTTACATCTCATCTCTATATTCCTGAAGGACCTCTGCACTTCACAGGTGCATTTTCCGTCTCATAAGATTTGCCACCAGTAGGTGATTACATTAGTATATGAAAGATTAGAGTTGTAGGATTAAAGAGGAGCAGGGGGCATCTTATAAAATTTCCAGGACAATACCTTAATTTCACAGATATGAGTCAACTGAGAATCCGAGATTTAAGTGTTGGTCAGAATGACATCATTCGCTGATGGCAGGGTTTAAAGCAGAGCCCTGATGTCCTAATTTCACCTCAGCACTGTTTCAAGCATAGCAATCATATATAAACTTCGAGAAGTTCTAGAGAGTTATTTTTAAAGTTGTATATGGTATTTTAAAAGTTGTGCTTAAATTCATTTCACTGAGACCTCGTGAGCAAAAATGCATGATGATATATGATGCTGAGTGAATATGATAAATTGGTGTATAAATGATTTTTATGAGCACCCTGAGGACAGTCCATCATACATAAACTCTCTCCAGAATACACATTTTTCTTTATGCCTGGTGATTTTTTGTGGGGAGTGGAGAGGGAGAAGTGGTGCGTTGAAGGTTTCTTTGTTCAATTTTGCATTAATAGTCAGAACTTCCTTTCTTAATTTCTTCTTTTTTAACACAAAGCACTACCCCCATAATGAGCTTTTGAGTAATTTCCTGAAAGACCTTCAGTTTTGTGTTTCATCATTGAAAGCTTCTTGGATAAAATTAGTCAATATGAGGAGATGGTCATATACTTTATAATGTGCTAATGGCAACACTGAGTTAATGTAAAATGCTTCAAAATATTAATAATTTCAATCTCATTGACAGAAATAAGCATTCACTAATATTTTAGTGTGCTCTGTGATGATTTTTATTTGTAC